GCTGCTGCTGCAGCAGGCACTGCTGGGAGTGGCCAGGCATGGCACTCACCACAGTCCCAGAACAGGGACAGGTCCACATGAGCAGCATGCTGCTCATGGTAGCCCCCGTGTCTGTCCACACCGTGCACGAGCACCGTTGCGGTAGGCAGCCTGCTGGCACTGCTCGCTGCGCCCTGCTGCGGGCAGAGGTGCTCTCAGAGGTTCTGGGTGGCCTCATTTCTGCAGTATCTCAGGCAGCACCCTGGATGCTGCCCCTCTCGTCCCTGGGGCGGGGGTCCGGCAGCTGGCTTGGGGAGGTCCTGCTGGGTGGTGGGGGTGGCTGTGGGTGAGGCGCTGAGCGCCAGGCTGGTCCGTGTGCCACGCGCCCACCGCAGTGCTCGCCAATCCCCTCTTCCAGGGACCGTCTCCTGTGGCTGCACAGCATCTTTGCCCTCATCTATTTCATCCTCACCATCCTCTGCATGGCTCACCACTCCGTCCACCTTGAATACAGAGAGAATGAGAAGGTGAGCAACCACCCTTCCTCCAGCCCTGCCTTGTTCAGCACTAATGGACAACTTTGTGCTTTGCAGAAAAGATAGTCCCAGTATGTAGGGAGAGCTTTAGAAACAGCCTGGAACAGGGCAGGCAGGGAAAGATAAGGCTGGTTTTCCCCAGCTTCTGGAGAAAGCCTGGCAGCCCGGAGGCAAATCTCTCTCTCCTGCTGCCTTGTCTCTTGAGGCTGAAGCTCTACTGTGTCTGTCTGCCTGGAAGGTGGCAGTGTCTGGCTGTGCCCCAGGGTCTGGGAGCAGGTGTTGAGGAGGTCTGTGGTGACCAGCCTCCGGGGTGGCAGTCCGTGCTCCGGCTCGCCTCTGCCTTCCCGGCAGCTGGTTGAGCAGGGTGGCAGTGAAATGGCCTGTGGGCCCCCACCCACCCCTCCCCCTCTGCCCCTTCTCCTCCCCCAGGTCGCCCGGACACTGATGGTTACCCACATCCCCAAGGAGATCACAGACCCTTCCCTTATCATCAAGCATTTCCAGTGAGTAGTGGTGTGCCACAGCCTTGCCAGGGCCGCTGGCAGGCAGGTGGCAGGGGCTGTCCCTGTCCCCCGACTCCTGGTGCCATCATGTCCTTGTGCCCGCAGCGAGGCTTATCCCAGCTGCACTGTCACCAACGTCCAGTTCTGCTTCGATGTGCGCAAGCTGATGAAGCTGGATGCGGAGAGGTGAGCACGTGCAGGTCCCGGTTGCCTCTGCGGGTGGGTGTATCGCTCCGGCCCAGCATGTCGAGGGACCCAGTCTGTCCGTCTGTCTGTCTCCTGCTCCCCAAATGACTCTTGTCCCTATCGGCTTCCCGGCAGGCGCAAGGCAATGAAGGGGCGGCTTTACTTCACCACCAAGGCGCAGAAAGAGGGGAAGATCATGATCAAAACCCACCCCTGTGCCCGCATCTTCTGCTGCCGCTTCTGTGGCTTTGAGCAGGTAGGTGGGTGCAGGCAGGGCTGCAGGCAGCACATCCCCACTGTGGGCAGGGCAGAGCATGGCAGCTCGCCTGTGCCACAGCCCGATGAGCGTGGAAGAGCCCCGGCTGCTCCCGCAGGTGGACGCCGAGCAGTACTACGGGGAGCTGGAGGAGAAGCTCACGGATGAGTTCAATGCCGAGCGCAACCGCATCATGCTCAAGCGGCTCGACATGGCCTTTGTCACCTTCCAGGATGAGCGGATGACAGCTGTGTGAGTGCCCCTCGGACGTGCCAGCACAGGCATGTCCCCCAGCCTGGCGGCCACCGCTGCTGGGGCACCTTGCTGGCTCCTCCAGCCAAAGCCAGACAATGGGTCTGTCTCTGCTGTGCTTCTGCCACCTGCAGAGATGGCTGCTCTGTTGGGGCTGCGGGAAGGGTCTCATGGGGGGTGGGGGGGTGGTCCTGAGTCCTCAGTCTGGACCCAACCCCTGGCTCCCTCCTCCTGCAGGATTTTGAAGGACTACAGCCACATCCGCTGCCGCAAGCACCCCCAGCAGTCCTCTGTCACCACTGTGGTCAAGTCACACCACTGGGGTGTTCGCTATGCCCCTGCACCCAGCGATATCATCTGGTGAACCTCTGTGGCGGGAGAGGGAGGGAGGGCGAGCAGCTGGGGGGAACACATACCCATAGCTATAGGGAACCCATATAGCTGTGGGGAACCTGCGCCCATACCTGTAGGGTGCCTTCTCAGGGTGGCAGGGGCTGACAATCCTTCCTGTGGCCATAGCAGAAGTCACCAGGGGTGACTGGGGTGATCACCCCGCGGGTGGCAGGGCTTGGCCAGGCAAGGTTTGGGGTGACTACCAGGCTCTGATATCTGCAGCGTGACTCCAAAGCCTCCTGGTGGCATGGACCCCCCACTGCAGTCATACTCGGGTCCTGGGGGCTCTGCAGGTGTCAGCGCAGCAGCATGGGGAGGGGCGAGAGGTTGAACTCGGAGCAGGGGCTGTCAGAATGGTCGGTGTGGGTAGTGGGAGGCAGAGCTTTGGGGAGCCAGGCTAGGAGACCCAGGACATGTGGCTTTTCCTCCGCACCATGTCCGAGTCATGCTTTCCTCTCACAGGGAGAATTTATCGGTCCGTGGTACATCTTGGTGGGTGAGATTCATCCTCCTTAATATCTGCCTCTTCGTCCTCCTCTTCTTCCTCACCACGCCAGCCATCATTGTCAACACCATGGATATGTTTAACGTCACACAGCCTGTGGAGAGCCTCAAGGTAGTCCCTGGGGCCCTGTGCCAGCTTTCCCAAAGGGTGTCCATTTCCAGGCTTGTCCGTGACAGGGGGAGGGCACCAGCAGGGGGAGGACACCAGCTCTACACTGGCCCGAGAAGACGAGCCATCACTGGGATGAGCATTGATTTGAGGCAAGGAGTGGTCGTGCCCCCGCTTGCCATCCATCCCCTTCTTGATGTGTTTCCAGTGGCAGAGCACTGGGGCACATGTGCAAACCTGAGCTTTGGTGCTGGTGTCCATGGGGGAGGGCAGGTTTGTGTCTGTGCAAGAGGAGGGGGGGTGGGAAGAGCTCCAGGAGATGTTAGGAGCTGCCAGCAGCACATCTCCTTCCTGCTCATTGACCTGTGAGCTGTTGGGCGGGCACTGGGGCTCAGAGCATGCCCGTGGTGCCTTTGGCTGGCCTCAAGCTCTTATCTCCTGAAACAAACGCCCCTGCTCAGAGAGGGGATGCCCCAGCCTGCCCGTTGCACACACCATCCTGCACCAGGAGGCCCAGAGAGCTGCCTCCAGTGTGGCTGAGCTCTGGCAGGCTCCTGAGGGGGTGTCCGGCATCTCTCCTCCTGCAGAACCCCATCATTACCCAGTTCTTCCCCACGCTGTTGCTCTGGGCCTTCTCAGTCTTCCTGCCCTTCCTTGTCTACTACTCGGCATTCTTCGAGTCGCACTGGACAAGGTAACAGGGCTGGCCCCACGCTCCCCCAGGGCTGTGGTAGATGGGAGGAACCTTAGTAGGACTCGTGGGACCCGACCTGCAGGGAGGCAGGCAGTGGAGCAGCAGACCCCCACAGAGCCCCATGGGTGTTGCCCTCCATGGAAAGAGCCCCACATCCATGCCCAAAGGAACCATTTCCTTGCCATAGCCCTGAACACTTCCAGGCTGCTGACAAAGGCAGGTGGAGCTGGTTTTAAGATGGGTCTGAAGAAGTTTGGGAAAGGGATGGTGTGATGGTGGACTGGCAGCAGCAGGGCCATGGCCCTGACTGGGGTGGTACATCCCAACCGTGCTCCCAGCCCTCCAAGGTGGAGGTATGGGTTCAGGATGCTCAAAGTCTCCTAGCAGAGGAAACTCTGCCCAGCTCCTACAATGTGCTCTCTGTGTCTTGACCCTCCATTGGCCCCAACCCCTGTACCTAGTCTGCTGAGTCCTTGCAGGAGCTTTGTCACCACCTCCCTTCCTTCTCCCAGGGGAAATGGGGGCTCCTGAACCCTTTGTAGACAGCCAGCTGCCTCTTGTTGGATGTCTATACCAGCAGGGATGGTAGGAGAGGGCAGGGATGAAGGAGGTGAGAGGCTGGGAGGACAAGAGCTTTCACTACAGCAGATTTCCTCATGGTGACTCCCCGGACTGGGAGAGGCTTTGCAAGGCCCCAGTAGATGCACAGATCAAATGCACGTGGCTTCCTGGGGCTGGGAGTAGCTCCTTGGAGAAGAGCGAGACCCAGCCCAGCCTCTCCCCCCACCGGCTGCTCTGCCTCAGAAAAGTGCAACGTTCTTCTCTTGCCTCCCCTCTCCGCAGGTCAAGTGAAAATCAGCTCACCATGCACAAGTGCTTCTTCTTCCTGGTGTTCATGGTCATCATCCTGCCCTCGCTGGGGCTGAGCAGGTATGGACCACCCTGCCGTGCTGCTCTCCATGCTCCCCAGCTGTCGGGATCGTACCCAGGCCCCTCGCCTCCTGCAAGCCAGCCCCAAAGGGCTAAGGGCCCACCGCCGCTGAAACATGGCTGTCTCTGAGGAGGAAAACACTTGCTTTTTAGCCATGCCAAGCTGCTCCCAGATGGTCACAGACAGAATGCTCCCCTGGGGAGGAGGAGGGGAGTGGAGCAGCTTGCCAGGCTGCCATGGCTGACCCGAGGGTGCTGGTGGTGCCCTGCTTGGGGTCAGCCCTTCAGCAGACCCTGAAAGGACCAGATCAGGTATCTGCGTAGCCCCAGCTACAGCAATCCTGAACATCAGGGAGGCAAGCACCCACGCCACAGAGGTCCTGTGCAGCAGAAGGGGCTGCTCTGGCGGCGTAGGGTCCAGAGGGTCTTGCCCACCTGCGGCAGGAGAAAGCACGCGCCTGCTGAGTGCCCCCCATGTTGCTCTGCAGCTCCCCCTCTTTCTGAGCTGCTGCTCTTCTCCTCCCTCCAGCCTGGACCTTTTTTTCCGCTGGCTCTTCGACACCCACTTTCTGGATGAGGCCGATATCAAATTCCAGTGAGTATCAGGGAGCTCCTGGGCGAGTGGGAGTGCCTGATGCCCACCCCCAGCGGCTCTCCTGGCTTCCTGCCCAAGCATCCTTTCACCCTCTGTGTCCCCGGGGCAGGTGCGTTTTCCTCCCGGACAATGGCGCTTTCTTTGTCAACTACGTGGTCACCTCCAGCCTGATCGGGACGGCCATGGAGCTGCTGCGCATCCCGGGCCTCCTCGTCTACACCGCCCGCCTCTGCTTTGCCAAGTCCGAGCCCGAGCGGCTCCACGTCAAGCGGGTACGTGGCTTTGGTCACCTCCAAGCCTATGCGACCCCCGGCATGGCAGGGACATGCTCGCTGGAAACTCAGGCTGTCCCGGTCCTATGGGGAGGCTTGTGGGGACAAGCCACCATGCAAGGGGCACTGCTGGCCCCAGCCCCATGGGAATAACAGGGGGAGGCAATCATGTGGGCCAGGGTGCAAAGGCAAGGGCAGCCTTTGCAGAGGCAGAGGCGGTAATGGCGCTGTTGGTTGTGCCCCAGAGCCAAGCCTACCAGTTCCAGTTTGGACTGGAGTACGCCTGGACTTGCTGCATCTTTTCTGTCGTCATGACCTACAGCATCACCTGCCCCATCATTGTCCCCTTTGGTGAGTATGACACCATGCCCCCAGTCCTGCTGCCCCCGGCCGAGCCAAGAATGGCCAGTCCCAGCTGCCAGCAGCACTGTGGGAGTATGAGCTTCCCGTGTTGTACAGGAGGGTGTTGTCCCCGGGCCACTGTCCCCGAGCCCTGGCTGTCCCCGAGCCCTGGCTGTCCCTGTTGTCCTCCCCCCAAATTGTCCCTCTCCTCCTGCCAGGTTTGCTCTACATGCTGCTCAAGCACATGGTTGACCGGTACAATATCTACTACGTGTACATCCCCACCAAACTGAACCAGCGCCTCCATGTTGCCGCCATCAGCCAGGTCGTGGTGGCCCCCATCCTCTGCATGTTCTGGCTGCTCTTCTTCTCCGTCCTGCGCCTCGGTAGGGAGAGCTCGGGGCTGCCCCCTCCCACTACTGAGGGTCACATCTGATGCTTGGGGGGACGAGCCACTGGTGTCACCCCTGAGTTAGGCACGGCATGGAGGGTGGGAAGGGGGATAGGATGGGGAAAGGTGTGATGGAGACCTGGCAGATGAGGGGGGTGTCAGCTAGTGTTTTGGGAAGGGGGTTGAGAGCCTGTAAGACACAAAGCAGGTGCCAGCAGGTCTCAGCTGGATGTGCAACAGGTTCTTGGAGGCTCATGTGCTGCCCCAGTGTCTTTCTGCTCTAGGTCCGACCCGCCCTGTCACCCTCTTCACCTTTGTGGTCCTCCTCTCCTGCATCATCTTCTCCTTCTTTGGCCTCTGCCTGAAGAAGCTGCAGCCACGGAAACCCTCCAGCTACCAGGTGAGTGCAGGCAGCCGCCCGTCCTGTTCCCCTTGCCCCACTGCATCCCCTCCTCGCCTTTCTGCGGTGTTTGCTGTGGGGAGTCTGAGGCAGTGCCTGGCTGCCCCCCAGCTGCAGCTGGGGGACCCCCAATCTGTCATTTCATCCTGGCCTCCCTCTCCCCAGATGTCTGACCAGTCTGAGGGCACCTTCAATGATGTGGAGCGGAGCAGCGTCTCCTCCACCCCCAACTCCAATGTAAGTACCCCTCCCCAGCCCTGCGACAGCCCCCCCACCTTGCTCTCCTGTACCCTGACCTCCCACCGCCCCCTGGGGCAGCTCTTCGTGGCCACCGTCCTGCAGGAGCCCGAGCTGAGCCTAACACCGGCAGCCTCGCCAGCGCACCAGTGCTACGGCACCATGGGCAACCACCTGGAGCCGGTGGAGGATGGGGAGGACGGGGGGCTGCAGAGCTTCGAGACAGAGCTGGAGACAGTGGAGGGCGAGTACAGGAGCGGCCCCGTGATGGAGAGCCAGGCCCGCTACCAGTGAGCATCCCAGCCACCGGGGCGAGGACTGGCCATGCGGAGAGCGGAGGATGTGCCGGGGGGGCAGGAAGGAGCCTTCCCAGCATTGGTGGGGGCCACCTCGCTGACAGGGCAGGGGGACGACAGGACTGATGTGAGGGGGAGACCCCACTGCATGGGAGGTGGCGGGAGGCTCTGCCGGTCCCTTCCACTGCCTGGACCGGCTCAGCCCTCCCATGCCCCACCCTGTCCCCACCTGTCTCTTCCAGCCCATCATGGGGAAGAGGAAGTGCAGCGGCGTAGGGAGAGTGTCTCTCTGAGATGCCATGCTTTTGGGGGCAGGAGGGAGGCCCTGGACCCTCCGTGAGGGGGAAGCAGCCCAGACAGCTCAGACGAATGTGCCCACCGCCATGCTGTCCCACAGGTCCTCAGTGGCAGGGGACAGCCACCCCTAACCCTTGCTTCCCACTGCTCGGGGTGACCATCCCGCTGCCTCCCCTGGTGCCGGCCATGCAGGCTCCTGCCCGTCCCCGCTGCCACCCCCAAGGCTTTGCCCGTTAAAGCCTAAAGGAGGTGAGTGCCCAGGGCTGCTCCCACATCTGCCTGAGCACCCGTGGGCCTGCCCTGAGGCAGGCATCAAAACGCAAGCCCAGTTCTTCCCCACCCTCCCACCCCATCCCGCTGCCACCGCTGCACATGCCTGTGCCCTTGGGTCCTCGGGGAGGAGTGGGAGGTCAAGGGATGGGTGTGTCTAATTGCCGTGAGGGCAGCTCCTTGTCATCCCGCTCCCCCCGGCAACATCCCCCTTGTGCTTGCGCTCTCCCTGGGTCTGGCCATGGGACCCTGCATGGCTCCATCCTGTTGCAACAGAAATGGAGAGGGGGCTAGCAGGACCCTGGCCTTCAGGTCCTGGTCCACTGCATCCTGCCGTCACCCACAAGCCGCAGCCATGGGATGCTCCCGCAGCCGCCGCACCACCCCTTGAGTGTGAGTCCTGCTGTGGTCAGTGTAAATGCGCCAGCTCCTGCCCGGGCAGCATCCCTGGGGTTTTCCAGCTCATCCGCAGCAGCCATGGAGGCCTCTGGGGACAAGGGCAGATCCTCACCCTGCTCGGCCTCTCTCCCACCAGGCTAGCCCACCTGAGCGCGCTGGCTCCTCGCTCGGCCCCGCTTTGGCCTTGGGGCTGATTTTCCTGCTCCTGATTTTCCTGCTGGCTTCAGAGCAATTCTGGCCACCATCCCGGGGCTGTGCAGTGAGGGAAGGGACAACGACGCAGCTCTGCTGGCACTGGGACTGCTGGCGTGGAGGGTGCTGCTGTGCGAAGGCAGATGCTCAGCCATGGCACTGCTCAGCATTACCGGTGTCGTGGGGTGGGGGGGAGTGGCACAGTATGCCAGTCCTGGTGGGAGGGGGGAGGGGGTTAAAAGGCAGCCCAGCAGCAAGCTGTGGGTCTCTGTTGGACTCAAGTGGGCCCTGGGACATCCCCATGGGGCTGGTGGGTCTCAGCTTGACCAGCTGGCAGCCCTGTGGCCCCCGTCCCACCCACGTTGCTGCATGCTAGGGCAATGGCTGCGGCACTCCAGCCACCAAGCAGGTACCTCGGGGGAGCCTTGAGCTCAGCCACTGCCTCCCAACCCCAAAAAGCACCCTGGGGGGCTCGCGGCTCCCTGCCCAGGTGCCCTAGGGGCTGCCCACAGCTCAGCCGCTGCCCTTACTGCCCGCTTCAGGGACAGCCCCAGCCAGAGCCGGGGGGATGCTGGTGGCCTCCCTCTGGGTGGAAGCAAGTGCCTGCGAGCGGCACCGCGTCCTTGGGAGCTCGGGCTGCTGGTCCGATTGCCCTTGGCTGCCCCGCTGTAGGAATGTGCCAGAGGTCTGTACCTTCTCGTGTTTTATTGCTATGACCGTGCCTTGAATAAAATGACTTCACCCAGCCGCTGCCTGGCGTCGTCACTCTGGTGCGTCCTGCCTGGTGCCAGGAGGGGGGGGGCCCTTGCCGCTGGAGCCTGCAAAAGTCCCCAGCCCCTTTCCCCACCTGCGGTCTGCTTTTGACCCTTCCTGGACATGTTCTGCAGAGGCTTCAGTGGTAAGGAGACCGCTCAAACACCTCCCCACGTCCAGGCACCTTGCTGCCCACCATGGTCCCCACAAAAGCAAAGCCCAGCAGGTGGGCAGAAGCAGCAAAGGCACAGGAGCGGGGGAACACCCTGCCATGTCTCCTCGGAAAGGCTGGCACAGCCCTTGGCACCATCCCTGACACTGGGAACAGAGTGCAGCCCCGGGACAGGCATGTACCTCTCCTGCCCGTCTGCCAGTGTTCACCCCGCAGGCAGGGCTGGCTCAAGACACCATCAAGGGGGCACACACTGCCTGGAGGGTGCAGGAGTGTGGCCTGCAGCTCCTCTGGGACCACAGCAAGGAGCAGGGGCAGCAGGGGGACCCATCTCATCTGAGGATGGAGCAGATTTTCCCAAAGCTGAACTGCCCACCAGCAAGTCCCGGGGAAGGAGGCGAACACCATTTTGGGAGCCTTTCTCTAGGTTTTGAGCAGACAGCGCTCTTTTGTTCCCCTCTTCCCTCCCAAAACACACTCTTTATATCCAAATTCCTACCTGAATAATTTGCCTCTGGTTTCAGCAGGTCCCTCCTGCTGACGCCTCCACAGCTCCCCTGGGGTGAGCCCTGCCTGGCCAGCCTGGCTTACGGCATGAGGCAGGGGGCACGGGGAGGGCTTCCCTTTGTGTGAAAAACTCCCCTCATCACACACCCCCACAGAGGCCCCCCCACGGTTCGTAATTAGTGGTAAATGGGGCTAAATGCAGGGCCTTGCTGGTGCCAGGGAGCTGAGGCAGGAGCCCTGGCTGTGAGCGAGGGCTGTAATTGCCCCCCCGGCTCGCAGCTCTCCCGGCCCTCACGCTGGGGAAGCTCATCACGGCCTAACAAGGTTCTGCAAGCCTCGTCATGCTGCGCCTCCGCCACTCCGGCCCTCAGAAACCCGCTTGCCTGATTACAGCCTGCACATACAGAAGGCCCTCGTGGCCAGGGCCAAGCAATTGCATGGTGTCTCCCACGGCGCCGGCTGGCAGCGGGCAGTGCCGGGAGCATCCCTGCCGGGCAACAGCCAAGGCAAAGGGGCGGTTAGTGGGAGCCGTGGCAAACCTCTGCGCTGGCGCAGGGAGTCGAAGATGGGGCTACTGCTGCGGGGTGCCACGGTGGCCCTTCCCCACAGCACTGGAGTTGGGCTCCCACTGCCAGTCCTGAGGCTGGCAGCTGTGCTCCAGGCCAGGAAGAGCTAGAAAATTTATTTTAGCAATGAACCACAGGGAGGATTTCTTTGCGTTCAGATCTCTGCTGCCCTCCTTGCCCTTTGCCAGTCCATCACACATGGCCCTGCAGAACAAGCCCCATCCTAAACGTCGCCAAGGGCAGAGCAGCGTGGCTTTCCCAGGATGCTCACCATGCTCTCCTGTGGCAGGGCTGGGATTTCCAGCCCTCAGGAGATGCTACTACAAACCCCAAGCTGGCTTGCCCGCTTTAGGGACCATCCTTCTTCAGTGCCAAATGCCCAACTCTCCCAGGGCTGGAAACCCACCATGTCAAAGCTAGAACACGCCCCGGGAAGGGGGAGACAGGACCTCCTGCATCCCCACCAGTTGCTCCCTGGGGCAGGGCTGCTGGGGTGGCTCCGCAGTCCAGCTGGCAGGGTGGATGCTGCATGGAACTGGGCAGGACTTCGCTGCGAGGCCGTGCCCTGCTGCTGCAGGCAACCAGCAGTGGGTGACCAGCAGCAGGTGAGCTGATGCTATCTCAAAGAACAAAAGCAGCAGTTGAACAACAGAAAAGGGATTTTTAGGCTGGTTGCTTAAAACTCTTATTCCATTAGAGATCGTTGAATTTGAAGGGTAATGAGCAATCAGCAGCAGGACGGCTTTGCTAGTCCCTGCGCTGCTCACCCATTCAATTACAGTGCACAAAAGCTCCCAACAGACTTTTGGTGCTGGATGCCTTCTCATGTCAGTCAAGCTGGACTACACAAGTGCTCCCAGTGACTACTATCTCCAAAGCTAGAGCTAACAAGAAACCAGTAAACCCCTCTCTATCATCCTTTTTTTTGGCTTGCTTGGGCCTTTTATATTAAAATAAACATAAGGCAGCAAAAAGGGCCGAGACTCACTGTTGTTCTTTATTGAACGGTGCAGCTGGGTATAAGAGGCACAGAGACTACTTCAGTTCTCTTGGAGTTACACAAAACGTGGTACAGAATAGGAGAAGTCAAGGAGCTGGGAAAGCTAGAGGGAGCAGGGATGGTTTGGGGCAGTAACACCCACACCCCACCCATCACACAGCTGCCTACTTGTCACACAGAGCCAGAAGGTCATCCCCCCCGACCCCGTGATGATGAAGGCTGATGCCCCAGAACAGGGTTGCAAAGAGGACATCCCCATTCCCAAACCCTCCTGCCCCATACCATGCCATCACAGCTAGCGCTTCCCCCTAGCCCCAGCTCCTCCATCCCTCACTGCCTAGCATGAGAATGGGGAGGACCTTATCTGGCCCAGCTGACAGAGAGAGCCATGGGCCAGGATGCACAACACCATGCTGTAGGACTGCAGGAGCAGAGCCTGGTACCATGGGGAGGACAGTGAGCATCCTACATGGGGATGTTCACTGCCTGTCCACAACACCCCTCAGCTCCCCTCCCAAACACAGCTGGAGGGCTCCTTGCTTGCTGGAAGCCCACGGCTGCCCACCAGGCCTGGTGGCAGGGAAGCAGGACCCCATCTCACAGGGCACCCCATCATCCCCTCCATGGCATGGGGCTGGGAAACCTCAGCTGCAGCTGTGAGGAGCGGGCAGCCCTCTCCTGCCCCAGAGTGGAGGACATCTGAGTATAGAAGGAACGTGTCTCTATAAGAACAGGACCATCTCAGCCCTCAACGCTGGGCTCCTCCTGCCCTGAAGGAGCAGCAAAAAAGGGCACTGCCTCTAACTGAATACTTGCCCTGGGGCTAGTGATGGCTGGAAACA